ACACATACACACATGGCCTGATAAATGGTTTCTAGAATTTAACTCAAATGAATGTAAAGTAATATATCTAGGTGAAAGCAGTAGGAGGCCAGACACAAGATAATGATTGGGAGACGAAGTCCTCCATGAAATGGAAAGAGAGAAGGATCTAGGAGAAGAAATCACACCGAACCTGTCTCCTGATGCCCTCATAAAAAATATATCATCAGCGGCGTATGAGACGCTGGCTAACATCAGAGCAACCTTTAGGATTTTTTGTAAGAAATCATTCAGAATCTTGTATACCACATATGTCAGACCAATCCTAGAATATGCGGCTCTTGCAGGGAGTCCATATCTTGTCAAGCATATCATAAAGCTGGAGAAGGTTCAAAAGTATGCCACTAGACTAGTTCCAGAACTACACGGAATGAGTTACGAAAAAAGGCTGCGTGAATTGCACCTCATGTCGTTGGAAGACTGAAGAGTTTGGGGAAACATGATTACCATGTACAAAATTCTCAGAATAATTGACAGGGTAGATAAATATTTATTATTTAACACGGGCGGTACACGCATAAGGGGACTAAGGTAGAAACTGAGTACGCAAATGAGCCACATTGACATTAGAAGGAATTTTTCAGTGTCAGAGTAGTTAACAGATGGAATGCATTAGGCAGTGATGTGGTGGATGCCGACTTCATGCACAGTTTCAAGTGTAGATATGATTAAGCCCAACATGCTCTGGTGCGATGGTAAAATTGTAAGAAGGATTAAGACAGAGCAAGACCGCAAGATGGTACTAGATGACCTGGACACACTGAAGAAATGGGCCAACATATGGCTACTAGGGTTTAACTCGAGCAAGTGTAACGTGATGAGGATAGGCATAGGGAGCAAAAGGCCAAACACAAGGTACCAGTTGGGAAAAGAAATCCTTCAGGAGTCAGGACGAGAGAAAAATCTGGAAATTAATATCACGCCAGACCTGTCCCCTGAAGCCCACATCAAAAGGATATCATGCAGATGCGAGGCTGGCAAACATAAGAACTGCCTTCAGAAACTTGTGTAAGGAACCATTCAGACCCTTGTATACCTCATATTTCAGACCAATATTGGAGTATGCGCCTCCAACCTGGAATCCACAACTAGTGAAACACAAAACGAAGTTAGAAAAAGTTCAGAGGCATGCCATCAAGCTAGTTCTCAAACTGAGGGGTCTGAGATACGAGGAAAGCTTACTGGAATTGAACCTCAAGACACTGGAAGACTGAAGCTAGGGGAGACATGATCACCACCTATAAAATTCTCAGAGAAATTGGCAGGGTTGATAAAGACAAATTATTTAGCACGGGTGGTACGTGGAAAAAGAGGAAACTGGTGGAAACTGAGTACCTAAATGAGCCACAGGGAGGTTTAAAGAACTTTTTCAGAGTCAGAGTAATTAACAGATGGAATCCATTAAGCAGTGATGTGGTGGAGGCTGACTCCATACACAGTTTCAAATGTAGAGATGATAGAGCTCAGTAGGATCAGGAATCTGAACATCAGTTGACTGACAGTTGAGAGGCGGGACAAAACAGCCGAAGCTGAACCCCCGCAAGCACAGCTAGGTGAGTACACGCACGCACACTGTTGGCTCGCGGCTGAGTAGGCATAGCTCTGGGGTCGTTGTCCTAAGGACCCGGGTTCGATTCCCGGCCGATGCAGAAAGAAATGGGCAAAGTTTGTTTCACTTGATGCATCTGTTCGCCTAGCAGTAAATAAGTACTTGGGAGTTAGACAGCTCCTACGGGCTGCTTCATGGGCGTGTGTAATTACCTAAGTGTGGTTACAGGATGAGAGCTACGCACGTGGTGTTCCGTATTCCCAGTACTCTGTTGTGTTTGTCTATGTGTTGCTTGCTGGTGGATTTACAATTATCAGTCTATCCTGATTCCAGACCTGCAATGCCATTATACCAACTTCCCGAAAGTTTTCGATTATTAACTCTTTTACCTTCAGACATTCTTTCACCAGCACAGCCACTCCTTTCCCCCTTCCTAGTTTTTCTCTCATATCTTCAAAGTAAGTAGCCCCCTTGGGAATACGATCTCATTTTAATATATTTTCTTCAAGTTTCGTCTCTGTTAGTGCGACAATATCTGGGACCTTAAGCTGAATTATATATTTTAGCTCCAATTTTTGTTATCTCACTCCATCTATGTTGGTATAAAAAATTCAGGAACATGTTCTGTTGCCATTTGTCCTTTACTCCCCTTTCCTCTAATGATTTTGCTGATTTGTTTTTATGTACCAATTCACTAACTTTCCAGACCCTAACACTTTGTAGAAATTTTTTTTTATTCTACTTCATATCTATTCCCATTAAGATGTTTCGCTTCATCTGTGTTTGTTTTCAGCTTTTCTCTTTCTTCCTTTGAGAGGTCTTGTCTTATTGACCAAAGTTTGCCATCCTCATCACTACATATTCCAAGCATTACTAAGCACTTCCATCATTTGTTTCAATCCATTAAATCTGACTCTTATGGGGCGATTTTTTGCCCGTCTCATATTTTCCTATCCTCCTAAAATAACTGACATTTTTCTTTGAATTGAGGCCTTTCACTAAACCAATTATTTTCTCAGTGATTTTCATCTCTGCTGCTCTGTCGACCCTAGATAATATTTCCTTTTCTAAACACTCAAAAATTATTATGGACGTAATTCTATCGGCAGTGTCTTGTACTAATTTACAGTTGGTAACCAGTTCTTTCCTACACACAGAAATCATAATAGCGTGATATACCAAATGAACAGATCCACAAGAGCCGTGATGAGGGTCCGAACCTACGCCTAGGATGATCCCAGATGCGCCTTAGTCAATTGTGTCACGACATGGTTAAAAGATTTGCAATCTGGAGTGTTTCTGCCCTCACGAGTATCCCGCAGCTTTTCCGAAGCACAATTAATTATTTAGTAATACAATGCACGAAGCATGATATTAATGCAAGCGACTGTGAATCCCCATGTCGCGAGTTCAAGTCCCTCCATTGCCTCAAAATTATTTTCAATGAGATATCATGCGATTGTAAGTTCCTTGTGATCATGCCTCGATGCTTGCCGAAAGATGATATAAGACCAGCGATTACCTCTTTTACTCGACCCGGGTTTGTTGTTCATTATTTACAGATCATCTGGTGTAGTTTTGCTGCGCATTCTACATCCCTATAACACCACCCTCGTCCACCCACTGTGTCTGGCTCAGAAGGATTTGATGATTGAATACACAATTCGGGGATCTTAAATGTTGGAAAAAAAATCGTGTGTGGGATGAATGTCGAGAAAATTTTCCGTGGTACTTTGGTATACGACCACAACATGAGTAGAGTTTTTGTCGCCCCAAAACACCTACGACTCTCACCTCGTCTCAGCTGTAATGTTTCGTGATTTACTCACAGGATGAACACGGTAATATTCAGTGAGTCGTCTGCGGCCGACCTTCCTAACTTTCTGTTTGTTGCTGATTTACCACCCCAATTCCCTCTTGCTCTCACACCTCACATGCAAATTTCACCTTCCATCGCCTCCCTCCCACTTTTCTTTCACTTACCCTTTGCGCTTTTATTGCTCTCGTCCATTCTCCTTTCAGTCTCTGCTTGCTCCACTTTCTCTTCCCATCCTGTAAATCACCACTCTCTCACTACTCCCTTACCATCATCAGTTACCTCAAACATTTCCCCATCCCAGTTCCTTGCTTCCCATAAACTCTTTTTTTGTTACCACTTTCCAATTTACATTTTCCCTTCTAGATCCACCTTTCCTAGCGTTCTTCCCTCCTTTCCTCACCCTCCTTTTCTCCAACCTTCACTTGCCTGCCCCATTTATATGAATAGGAGTCACCAGGCTAGGTTTACTCACTAGGAGGAATCATCAGAGTCGGTTCCACACTAGGAGGAGTCATCAGAGTTGGGTTCCACTCTGGGAGGAGTCATCAGAGTTGGGTTCCACTCTGGGAGGAGTCATCAGAGTTGGGTTCCACTCTGGGAGGAGTCATCAGAGTTGGGTTCCACTCTGGGAGGTGTCATCAGAGTTGGGTTCCACTCTGGGAGGGGTCATCAGAGTTGGGTTCCACTCTGGGAGGGGTCATCAGAGTTGGGTTCCACTCTGGGAGGGGTCATCAGAGCTGCGTTGACTTCCACGCTTGTCTAAACATTGCACATATACTTTGATCACTAGTGTGAGACAAGCAACACATGTACAGTGGTCTCCGCCTGAGTTTGTGTTCTGAGATGTTACCCACACGTTTTATATGCATATGTACACGCTTCTCTCTATGCATTTATATATGTGTGTTGAAATGCACATCTGTGACCGTCTCTCATGGGCACCAGTCGCATATATTATCGAGCCGCTTGCACAAATTCAATGTTAGTAATATTAATGATTCACAATCTAACAGACATCACTCTGATATATGAATGATCCCCACAATAGCTACTTTTTAGTTTAATATTTTCATGATAACAAATATCTCATTGTATGTTAATATTAATATAGAAAATAGTTAATAGAGAATATAGAAAGCAAGCAACAATTAGCTCAATACAAAATTAATGGACAAATTATTTCCCACTGACAGAGAGATTAGACGAGGAAGGGGAGTAGCAATATATGTTGTGTTAAAGAGCGAACTAAAACTGGTGCCCACACGACAGTTATTTGTACGGAATGAAACAGACCTAAATATATCCTAATAACAGGAATGCAATTTAAACCCCCATATTTTTGATAGAATAAGGCTTATCTAAGAAGAAATATCAAGTCATCTAAGCCTAAACATATGTTGCAGGAGAGACTAAATTTAGCAAAATAAACTGTTCTAATAAATAGAACAGTTAATACTGAAAGAGAAATTGTTGATGAATTTGTTGATAACTGCTTTCTTAAGCAACATTTTATGGCGCCTACACTGGAAAATGACTTATTAACTTCTTTTAATATCACATTTTTACTGACTCCTGATCTTCATCAAGAATGTTTTAAGGAGACATATTTTGAACCTGTATCATAACCAGTGTCACGCCACCAGGGCTGCCCACCTCCAGTGTCACGGCCCCAGGGCTGCCCACCTCCAGTGTCACGCCCCCAGGGCTGCCCACCTCCAGTGTCACGCCCCCAGGGCTGCCCACCTCCAGTGTCACGCCCCCAGTGCTGCCCACCTCCAGTGTCACGCCCCCAGGGCTGCCCACCTCCAGTGTCACGCCCCCAGGGCTGCCCACCTTCAGTATCACGCCCCCAGGGCTGCCTACCTCCAGTGTCACGCCCCCAGGGCTGCCCACCTCCAGTGTCACGCCCCCAGGGCTGCCCACCTCCAGTGTCACGCCCCCAGGGCTGCCCACCTCCAGTGTCACGCCCCCAGGGCTGCCCACCTCCAGTGTCACGCCCCCAGGGCTGCCCACCTCCAGTGTCACACCCCCAGGGCTGCTTACCTAGAGTGTCACGCCCCCAGGGCTGCTTACCTCCAGTGTCACGCCCCCAGGGCTGCCCACCTCCAGTGTCACGCCCCCAGGGCTGCTTACCTCCAGTGTCACGCTCCCAGGGCTGCTTACCTCCAGTGTCACGCCCCCAGGGCTGCCCACCTCCAGTGTCACGCCCCCAGGGCGGCCCACCTCCAGTGTCACGCCCCCAGGGCGGCCCACCTCCAGTGTCACGCCCCCAGGGCGGCCCACCTCCAGTGTCACGCCCCCAGGGCTGCCCACCTCCAGTGTCACGCCCCCAGGGCTGCCCACCTCCAGTGTCACGCCCCCAGGGCTGCCTACCTCCAGTGTCACGCCCCCAGGGCTGCCTACCTCCAGTGTCACGCCCCCAGGGGTGATTACCTCCAGTGTCACGCCCCCAGGGCTGCCCACCTCCAGTGTCACGCCCCCAGGGCTGCCCACCTCCAGTGTCACGCCACCAGGGCTGCCCACCTCCAGTGTCTGGTGTGAACTTACTCAACCCTTCCCATGAATCTCCTCAACCTCTCAACAACTTCATAACACATATGAGGCACCCGGAGTGAGTTGTCTCTAATGCAACTTTTCCGTATGATTTTAAGAGTCTAACTTGTAGCTGCTGCCTCCATGCTCTCGTCTTTTTTTCGAAATTGTTTATTAGTGTCTTTCAGTTAGTGTATAGTAAGCATAATGTACTATTATTCAGTGTCGGCTCTATTATATGTTGTTTAGTGATGCAGTCAGCAACTAATTCATATCATCTGCTTCGCAATTCCCTGTTTATTAGTCCAATTTATTTTACAAAATTAAAGTCACCTATAACAAATTTTGTGGGACCTAAATACTTACATTATTTCTTCTTATCAATGTATTTTTTCTATTCTTTCGAAGTTATGTGACCTGCATATAATTGCAATGTTATGATATTTTTTTCTTTTTGGCTTCACGGCTCAAATCTTTTGCAGCTTTGCAGCTCGCTAAACAATCTGGTTCTTATCATTTCCAAAGTTGAATATGTCATTTATCGAATCTGATGCACGTCTTCCTTTTCTAAGATATATATGATCACAATTCTGTGTCTGGCTTCACTTTCTGTCTAATTGCAAGCCTTTGCTCAGTACCTGACTCTTGTTTTACATGTATTACCCAGCTATCAGGGCGCCTAACAGCTGGGTGGAAGGGCGCATGACAGCTGGGAGGACAGCACTTCGGATTTGTAGTCTTGAGGTTCCAGGTTCGATACCCGGCGGAGGCGGAGACAAATGGGCAAAATGTTTTTCACCCTGATGCCCCTGTTACCTGGCAGTAAATAGGTACCTGGGAGCTAGACAGCTGCTACGGGCTGCTTCCTGGGGGTGTGTAACGAAAAGGAGGCCTGGTCGAGGACCGGGCCGCGGGGACGCTAAAGCCCCGAAATCATCTCAAGATAACCTGACTTCACGCTTAATTAAGGATACTTAAAAATAAGGGCTGATGACCACTTACACAAGGTAAAAAAGACAAATGGCTTAACGCTTCGTGAACATGTATTACCAAACATAAAGCAACAAACAGGCTCAAGTACAAGGCACAGTCTACTTAACTCAAAGTCTCGACCAGTCACCCGAGGCCCCATACTCCTCCCTCACAGACTGACGCTCCACCGACCAAGACCACAGTCACCAACTATGACCAAATCTCTTAACAGACACACTGAGATAATCACTCACAAACACGGTTACACAAAAGTATGAACTGCCTTATACATTTAGAAAATAACTCGGTAATAATGAAGTTGTTAAAGATAAAATAATACGTGATATAACATAATGCAAACTTAGCAATAGTGGCGCGAACATCAGACTGACAGGTCCAGTACAAGTACACTTATACAAGCCATCACCACCTCCCGTACAATATAATACAACAGGATAAATACCATAACAAGTTGGAAGCCTCTGTACAGAACACCAATCAAATGCAGTTTCAACCATACACACACACATCTGGTTGGGGAAATTATGGACTTTTCGAAATTTGAAGTTGGAAGTTGCAAGAAGAGTTATCAGAACCATTGGCGGAGGTCAGCTGAAGTTTCTCTTCTTTACAAGTCGTTATCTCGCCTTTATTATCTCTTAAATTTATTCAACTGTGCCTATTGTCAAGCTAAGAGAACTTAAGTTCGAGAATAAACCTGCATCCAACATTAGATAAGCAGATAATAATATTAAGTATTACGAATAATACAATATATAAGTAGTTTACAATTAATAAATGTGGTACTTACGGATTCCCTCAAACACATATTACAGGAACACAGATTCTCTCAACTTCATATGCCAGTCATGGCTTGGTAAATACTGCTAGTCTAACGTCATTTCAACTAACCAATCCTGACCTGAATAGTACCTGACCTATGCATTCCCCTTCAAGTCTGAACTAAAAGATGTTAGTAATGCTCTTCGTACTTGACAGACAACTCCTCTTTCGACAAACCAACAACCATCATAGTAACCTGATTCACACTGCTTATGTCTCCAATGCTCCTGATGTTTATTCTGTAACCAATATTAACTGCTGTAAATCATATAAGATTGTATTAATCGTGTTGTTCCTAAGTCCAAAGGAAGGATATTCAGGCCCTTAACATAAAGTACCCAACACCAGAAACAGGTGATTGATGACCTTATATGAGCATGGAACCGTGCGGTGGATACTCCTGCTGATAATAAGTAAACTAATCCAATCAGTAGACTGATTAACATTTACATAAATTGAAAAAAAAATAAGTTACAAAGCTGCAAATCTTCATTTACATGATTTTATTTATATTATTAAAAAAAAAATTTTTTAGTTGTATAGATCGTCTGACATTACAGAGGCTTCCTTTTGAATACTGAAGACCTCACCTTTACGTTTGTCAACCTTCCTACGATTTCTCCATCTCGGTCTTCGTCTTGGTAAAGAATTTGAAGGTTTTCCCTTATTACTTCAAAGACTTTATTCTTAATATTTCTTGTGAATTTTACCTCGCCTCTGCGGTCACCATCCCGTCCCAGTGCCTCACCATACCTCTGTCACCCGTCCCAGTGGCTCACCATACCTCGGTCACCCGTCACAGTGCCTCACCATACCTCTGTCACCCGTCTCAGTGCCTCACCATTCCTCGGTCACCCGTCTCGGTGCCTCACCATACCTCGGTCACCCGTCCCAGTGTCTCACCATACCTCGGTCACCCATCACAGTGCCTCACCATACCTCGGTCACCCGTCACAGTGCCTCACCATACCTCGGTCACCCGTCACAGTGCCTCATCATACCTCGGTCACCCGTCACAGTGCCTCACCATACCTTGGTAATCAATCCTTGCACCTCATCAGCCCTAGGTCAACCATCCCATCACCTCATTAATGTTGGAAATAACCAACAGTTTATGCTCCTTTAGCTATTAATATTAGCATTTACTAACATTACTAATTCGTAGAATTAATACAATTAATGTTTTCTATAGTAAGGTAATATTTGCCAGATCGTTCCTAGTCTCCATGACGCCGGAGGTAACATCAAGCTGAAACATGAAATCTTCCACATTATTGTTGGATTTTTACTGAGTCCAGTTAGTCACTCCTTCTTTCTAGACAATCTTTTATGGAAGAATCTGTTTATTTCGCGTACTATTTTGTATTGAACTCGATCATATTATCAGATTATCTCAGCAAATATTACTGTTACGTAAATTAATTTTACGTCGACCCTTCTCGTTTATTTCGTGCAGTGTTAATTAAACCTATTGCCCCGCGAGAAGTTGTATTATGATCTAATATATTTATGTGTGACATTAGTACTTGTCATGATTCCTTACTTCCCTAATTAATTACCAGTAAATAAAATACTTTACGCTTGAGATGACTTGGGAGCGCTCTGCGCATGCGTATCCGAGCGAAAGGAAAGGAGGAGAGGAGCGTCGCTTGCTCTTGCAACTCAGACGCCATTACAGAGAACAACGTGGTCGAGCAGAGATTATACTGCTATTTATTTGTGTCTAGGAGCATAATACTGATCCCGTAATCCGACCTTCTTCATTAACGAACGTCAGGGATCGACAACCATCCCTGCAATTACAAGACACAGTCTTGGCGAGCGTAATAAGTATAAAAGTTCCTACGTGAGTTGATTTAGTGTACACACGTAAACCAGCGTGTAGGTTGCTCGTCGTTACTTACCAAGACGATCACAAAATTCATGTTATTTTCCCTCGCATTTATTTCCCCACCTATTCTAATGAATAGTGGAATATTTGATTAACTTAGACATTTTCTACAATTTCTTTGCGAGTCCAGCGCTGATCGTGGGGACAAGCGGAGATAGTCTTCCCCTCCATGCGGCTTCCATGTGTACCCAACAGTAACCTTGGCAACGAGTTTATGTCTGCGAGTATTTGAGTCGTGAGTCGTGTGTTGTGAAGTCTTCTTTACAGCTAAGAAATTAATATATTTTCTCTAATTTTTTTCTTACGAAATGATAAAGCTACCCATTTCATTATGTATGATGTCAATTTTTTTTATTGGAGTTAAAATTAACGTAGATATATGACCGAACCTAACCAACCCTACCTAACCTAACCTAACCTATCTTTATAGGTTAGGTTAGGTTAGGTAGCCAAAAAAGTTAGGTTAGGTTTGGTAGTCGAAAAACAATTAATTCATGAAAACTTGGCTTATTAGGCAAATCGGGCCTTGCATAGTAGGCTGAGAAGTGCGTTCTGGCTATTAGGTACGACATATATATATATATATATATATATATATATATATATATATATATATATATATATATATATATATATATATATATATGGATATATATATATACGGATATATATATATACACACACATACACACATATATACACATTCATTTATGTCTCTTCTGCGCTGACAGGGTGAGATAGCTGCTATAGAAACTAGTGTGTAATTAAGCACTTAACCACTGAAGGTGATCAAGAAGCTTTTACAAGCTCAGGTTATATAGTTACATCACATACATATATTCATTGTATAGTTGATACATCAGATGGTCAGCCTCGGGAACAAATCCAGTATATCATCAAGTGTACAAGTATTCATATAGTATTTACAGAGTTCAGCATACCTCAGCGAAAGTCAGTCAGTATGGGACTTTCTGCAATATTATGTTCAAGTTAGTAATTATCAAAAGAAGACACAAGGCCGAGAAGGCTATGTAGCATATAATGTTCAAGTGAGTGCATGTTTTCACTTTCACAAAGTTGACACATTGTGTACTCGACATTTGGGTTTTGAGAAAGCTGCCAGATACGTCTATATCCCAGGCGTATTCTGGCCACTATAATATCACATTGTCGAGTTCTTGCTCTATTAGTCCCATATGAATGTCTTCTCACAGTCTCTCAGTAGTGAGGAACCAGCAAGTTGTTTCCGTTGAATAACATTATGTCATCATGTCTTTATGGCCGATGTGGGACG